TGGAGCCCACCACGGTGGAAGGCCTACGAAGAAATGTTCAAAACATCTCTCGTTTATCAACTTAATATTCGTTTGAGGGAGTAGTTTTGGGCTACATCAAAACATTTTAATCATATTAAAAGAACATGGCCCTATCATAACTATTGGTCCAAGTTAATATGATTTAGTAGCATATAATACTCCCACTGTTTCGTTGAAACAAGCGAGACTATATGGAACTACTAACGAACGCATTGCATCCTCATATGGACTATATAGTCATATTAGGTTTTAGGATGATTATGAACCGTTTGATTTGATCCAACATGAGCCTTGTGTTGGACCTTGGGTTTAAGGTAGATAGTTGTTGATTTTAGTTACGCGTTTAATCCAATTAAACCGTTATTTCCTATTGGGCGTTGGACCCAACTATTCCAATTTGCATACATATAAACAAAGAGGAATACATGAAATAATAAGAAGGGCTTATGCCCTTTTACAACACAAATAATGGGCTTATGCCCTTTACAACAACTTGAACTAATCAAATTACATTCAAATCTACATTACTTAAAACCCAAGCATTCATAATGTAAATCGGCCAATCACATAGCTCAATTATCGAGGCCTTTGGTTCATAATCACCCTTTTCTCAATTAACTAAATTAACTAAGAAAGCAACTTTAAACAATTGGTTTTTGGATCCATAGAATTGATTTAAATGGAACTAAATATAATGAAAATCCAATTCTCATTAAAGAGACAAAACAATTTTTGTTCTCATTTTATTTGGGCCATTTTGCAAAAAACACAAACTTTTGGGCCAAAATGCAAATACACAAAAGTATCAAAACTTTATTTAATTGCACAAAAGCACCCCACTAGAGGGGTGGCCGGCCATAGGATAGTAACATAGAGATTTTTGATAAAAAGAATTTTGTAAGTGGATTTTGGTGGGTGAGATTAAAGATGGTGGGGATGGTTTGAAAAGAAAATATACCTTTGATATAATTAAAACTATTTAATCATTTCTTACCAACAAACATCATCCATCAACTAATATTCAAAATTATATCTTTGACATAATCATCACCCATCAACTAATAATCAAAACTTTATGTAAAACATAAAACTTTTGAATCAAAACTTCAAAACTTTTTGTTCTTGATAAGAACTTCAAGAAATATGAAGAACATACATGAAAACTCATAATAGCTCCATGGATGTTTTCTTTCATCAAAAACTCAAATTTTCACAACTCAAAAGAGGGTTAATATCCTAGGGTACTTAGGGGTTCCAAAAAGCACTTTAAAACCATTTTAACAAGCCTAACATGAACCCAAAAAATCACCCTTTGGATTTGGCCAAAAATCCCAAAACACTTGGCACCAACTTTTAGTTCCATTATTCATGCTTTAATGAAACACATCTACAACATTTGAGATGCTAAATTTTCAAGTAAAATTTATATTCAAAGCAAGAACAAAGCTTGTAACATTTACAACACTTAAATCACAAAATATGAAAAATCACAAAACCCAAAAGGATCCACCATAAACTAGGCCTAGGCTCTTGATACCACTTGAAGGAAAAATTTTGTCCTAGCTAAGAACATGTAAGAACATTTGAATACATATGCAAACTAATAACACTTTAAAGTAGGCATGCATTCAAAAACAATTCATAAAACCCATGACTTTCAAAGCCTTGTATATGGTGAACCATAAGACTCTTTAACAAAATTAAAGAGAATAAGAATTTAGAGATTCTTTACCCTTGAAGCTCATCCTTGATTGCACAAGGGATTCACCCAAGTGGAGGGCCTTCAAGTCACCTCCTTGCTCCTTGAATCTTCCTTGTGATTTCCTCCCTTTTAGTGCTCCTTTTCTTCTTTGAGGATTTGAGGATTTGTTCTCCAAAACACCAAAAGTTTGGTGTCTCTAAGTCTTCACACCAAAGATGTTGTGTGAAGATGAAATGGATGACTTAGGGAAGAAAGATTGCTAGATGTTCCTCCCCTAAGGTGAAATGAGAGAATAGGTTTCACCCAAATTCAATTAGAAAACCCCTAGGGTGAAATGGCTATAAAGATGTCTTTATACTACCTCACAATGGAGTGGCAAACTTGCAATTAAGCCAAGTTCACTACCCTTGAAGCTTATGGCCGGCCATATGTTGTATTTGGGCTTAATTGCCCATTTTGTTTTAGTTGTCATACAACTTAAACATAATGGGCCTTGTGGACCAAAACGTTTTTGTGCCCCGAAGCCCAAAACTAACTTAAACGCCCAATACGAACGTTTCGTATAATTAATTAACTATTTAATTAATCTTGACCATTCTTCAATTAAACCATTTAATTGCTTATCCATTTCATATAATTTCTTCACTTATATCTTTACTCGGTGTACGATCCATTAGGTTCCAATTAGCGAGGTAGTGGGCAATGTTACTCTTAACGATCGATTGTGAATTGAAACCACATTTCAATTCTCCCTTAAATTAGTGTTTGCTAATCTTTAGGGCTTCCACAAACCATGGGTGACGCCTAGCAGCATGTCATGGTTACCCAAGCTAAGTAGAAGTGGTTGGATAACCTATCCAATTACAACTACAATGCAATACGGTCCTTCTCTAATACAATACTCTTAATCACATTGTTTAAGTGATAGTTTGTTTCATGTCTACTATCCAATGTGATACTTCTCTATATGATTCAATTGAATAAGATTTGGAACATCTTCCTTAGTCATATTCATATGCTTTGGCCAAAGACTCTCGAATCATATCTTAGAGTATTCTCCTTCCATCATGGAAGGTTAGAGATCCCTTGTTGTACATTCATATGCCTACATGACTAGATAGCTTGACCCCAACAATGCCGTGGACACTCCAATGGAATGCCGTTGACATAATCAAAGATCAAGGACCTAACCATTAGACATCAATGATGCCTCAGGTCAAAGGACTACTTTCCATATTGCAACTATTGAGTTCTCACATGACATGTATGTTCGAACTCTTGTTTGATCGTTGTTCAGTGTACTCGATTACTTTTTCGAGCACCTATGTGTTTGCCTTAGTGTCCAACACCAAATGACTTGAGACTAGTTCATACTCACACTTGAGTCGACATAACACATACTAACCTTAGCGGATTGTCAATGCCCAATTGGCAATCCTATGGCTAGGAACGTTTTAGGAATGAACATAAGAGAAAGGTCTCGTTAATTTAACTAACTTAAATCACTTGTCTCTTAGATCAAATACATTCCTTGGATTCCCTTATTGGTTAAACACAAGATACTATAAATAGTGATTAACAATAAGCTTTGCCCTTCTATTAAACATATAAAAGTTTAACACAATAAGTATTCCAAAAAGCTATTACATCAAATGAGTGGCTTTGTGGGCATACTTCCAACAAATCTAGCTTAGTCCTTGAAGCTAGTCCAGTCCAAAACAGTCCGGTGTAACAAACGCACCCTGTATGTTATCATTGCACAAGCCAAAAAAGCGAGGGTAGGTATTGAGTCATAATTAAGCTGTTGCTTGGGTTAGCTCAAATGGCGAAGTTGAGTGAGACTTGAACCTATGGCTAATTAATCACATTGGACTTCGACAATATTGTGCAAATAAAGTATTTTCCATCATTTCATTATTTTTGTCACAAAACCTGGTGATCGACATAAAGTCACATGTCTAATCACATAGCTAGGTTAGATGTCAGCATATGACTTAAACAACCTCAAGTTAGATCCTTAAGATCAGGGGTGGGCATTTGTGCGGGTCAACCGACCAACCCGACCAACCCATCCAACATTAATTGGGTTGGGTCGGTCAAAAGCCCAAAAAAATAATTTCTGGGTTTAAATTCGGCCACCCGATCCATAGCTAGCATGGGCTGCAATATTACAAACCCGTCGAAACTTGGGCACCTGAATATAGATATATGGTAGCTAATTTATGCGATTTCCTCTCAATTCTGAAATATCCTCCTTTCGTCAAACCCTCATACCCAATTTCACTCCTCCTTCCCTCAAACCCTCGGACTAACTCCAACCTTTGGCGTAATCTCAAAATTTGGCTTCTAAACCCACCACATTTCACTCTAACCTTTGGCCTAAAATTTGATTTTGGATTAAAACTCAAAATTGGGCCAAATACTAGGTTTTAACCCCACTGGTGCAACTAAACGCGCCTAGTAGAGGCCACCTACATGGGATTTGACGTGCCTATTTGAATCTCACACCTCCAACTTTTCCAAACCAGACATGCTGGGTCCCATGCACAACGGCATGTCTACAAAATAGAAAGGCTTGTGAACGAGAATTGAGAGCCTAACAACTCTTTGATTTAATCCAACAGTTTGGATCTTTGGACCGTTGACTAATCCAATTGCCCAAATTCAACTTTAATTTTTTTAGTTTTATATTTATAAATTTATTGAATCCAATGGTTGAGATTTAATATGATCAAATCCAATATTAGAAAAAGATTTAAAGACTCCAATTTAAATCCAACGGCTAAAATAATTTTAAAAAAAAAATATTTAACTCAAACTTTACTAAAAAAAACTCTACAAATACCTACGTATTTGCTCAAACATCCACACAAAATTCACTTTTCTCCTACAATTCTTCCAATTTTTCTCTCTACCATCTTTCAAAAACATTTGTATCATGCGTTTCATATTCTTTCATGCATTTCATGTTCTTTCATAGTGTTTAATGAGTTTCATAGTGTCGGTTTAATGGTTTTTCAATATTTATCGGAATTTAAATATTTTTAAGTTAAAATGTTCATAAAATTAATTTAGCATAGTCTACGTAATTTTTTTAAAGTTAATTAAAAATTAACCTAAATTCATTCCTTAATAATCTGAGGCTAAAATTTTAGGTTAGAAGGGTTGGAGCAGAAAAGTTGTTTATGGGTAAAAACCTAAATTTTCTAGGCTAAAAATTTTAGGTTTTCTTCCAAGGGTTGGAGGTGGTCTCAGACAATTTCAGAAATCAAGAAATTAGAAATCTGCAATAATCAATTTTACCCCTGATTATTCTCTATGGCCTCTTTGAGATCGATTTCTCCTCTTCTCTCAGTCTATAAAAACCTTATAATTTCATTGTTGTTATCTGCACCGCTGCATCCCAAATCCCTAATATCTCAGTTCTTGTCATTCTTGATCAAGTGGCTATTGCTTTTAGGTGATGATTTTAGTCTTTCACTCAAATTTTGTTCAAATTATTTTCATGTCCAACTATATTGAAATTCTAACACGATTCTCTTTTTGGTGCAGTTTTCTGGGGCTTTGTATTCCTGGGTGGTTAAGCTTTGGGAACTTGTGGTGAAAGCTGCTACTTAACTTTTGGTGAGTTTTAATTTGTATTAGACTATGCCTTTCTATGTTGCTATCTATTTAAGTAGTTAGGATTGTAAATTTTCTTAGTCAGCAAAAAGAAAAAGCAATTCAAGCTCTTTATGTCCTCCTAATTTGTGCTTTTGAAATCTTTTTCACATAGGAAGCAGTATTGGCTGCTTCTCTTTGTGTTCTTATTACGCTTGTTTTTCTCTTGCCCCCTTTTTGGGATCCTATGGATGCATATTTCAGAACGGAAAGAAGGCTTTGTTTTTTTTTCTTTCTTTTTTTTTTTGTTGATTTTATCTAATTATAATGACGCTTTGTTAAATTTAAATTAACAGTATATTGATTACTATTAAATGAAATTTCAAACGTGAAATTTGCAGAAAGTTTGTAAGTGTAAATTCATGTATAGTTGTGAATTCATGTATTACATATCGCTTTTGGTAATTTCCAAATTTTTTTGATATCTAATAGACTAATACTAATGTACTGAATCAATACTACACATTCAGATTATATGCATGTTAGAGTGTTTTTATTCTTTGTTTTTTTTCATTTGTTTTCTATTTATTTATTTGACATTCATATTGTATTTTCTTTTGTTGGATTGAGTGAGCTTTTTGGAATACAATGGCTGCGAGAGATATGTCTGTTGAAGCTACTGGAAAAGTAAGTTCTCAAACTTTGACCAACACTGATGCTTCGTCAGTGCCACCTCCTCCACTTGTGGATAATGGTAAGAAGAAAAAAGCAAGTAGGAAAATGTCCACTGTGTGAGATCACTTCACCAAAGTTGATGGTGGTGAATCTTTTGATTCCAATGATCCTAGAGCTGCTTGCAACAACTGTAAGAAGAATTATGCTTGTGATACGAAGAAGTGTGGGACCTCTAGTTTGTGGAACCATTTGTCTAATTAGTGTAAAAGGTATCCTCATGGGTTGAGGACAGAAAACAAAAAATCCTTAGCTTTGGGAGGAAAGATGGTAATAGGAGCCTTATAGCAATTGGCTTTAGTAAGGAAGCTTGTAGGGTTGGGTTAACCAAGATGATAGTTCTTGACGAGCTACCCTTTAGCTTTGTTGAGAAGGAAGGGTTTAAGCTTTTCTATGGTATTAGTTCCCCAAAATTTACTCCACTCTCACGCAGAATTATTGCAAGAGATGTGTTTCAATTGTATTTGGATGAGAGGAGGCTTTTGAAAAATGTGTTGACCACAAATGCACAAAGAGTTTGCCTTACCACTGATTGCTGGACATCTACACAAAACATTAGTTATATGGTTTTAACTGCTTTTTTTGTTGATTGTGATTGGAAATTAATTGGGAAACTAATTGAATGGGGAATAGAAAATGTGTTCACTGTCACTGTTGATAATGCTTTAGTAAATGATCAGGCTGTTAATTATGCGAAAAGGAAACTGAGAAATTGGAAAACTGATGTGCTTGTTCTTGATGGTGTGTACATGCATTTACGATGTAGTGCTCATATTGTGATTTTGATTGTGTCTGAGGGGTTAAAAGAATTGAATGAGTCTATATTAAGAATTCGATCTGCTGTCAGGTATGTGAGGTCCTCGCCCTCAAGGCTAAAAAAAATTAAGGAGCGTGTGGATCGTGTGAAAATAGAGTCTAAGGGTCTTGTGGTTTTAGATGTATCAACAAGGTGGAATTCCACCTATTTAATGTTGGTTGATACCCTTAAGTTCCAAAAAGCATTTGAAAGGTTGGAGGAAGATGATGGACATTTTATTACTTACTTTATAGATGGTGATTAAAAAAAAGGGTTGATTCCTCCTACAACTGATGATTGGGATAATGCATCAGTTTTTGTTAGGTTTCTAAAAAAATTTTATGATGTGACACTCAAGTTCAATGGATCTTTAACTATGACTTTTAATACTGCATTTCATGAGATGTGTTCAATACAACAAGAACTAACAGTTCTTGGTAGCAGTGGAGATCATTTGTTGCAAAAAATGGCTAATAGTATGAAACTCAAGTATGAAAAATATTGGGGTTTTATGGGAAAGGTTAATAACTGCTAATTATTTCAATGGTGTTTGATCCAAGATTTAAATTGGATTATGTTTCATTTTGCTTCAGTTTTATATATAGTGCAGATAAAGCGATTAAGTTGACCAAAGGTGTTAAAGATGTGTTACGCTTTATGACTTTTATTTGAAGTCTAATGAACAAGCTCCCCAAGCTCCGAATATTGGTTCATCTAGTAGTAGTGCACCAACGCAAATTGTTGATGGTAGTTCTATTGAAGATGCAAGATTGTCTCAGTTTTTGAAGATAAGAAAACAGAGAAATAGTGGTGAGTTAAGAAGTGAGGTGGATAGGTTCTTATTGGAACCTCCCAAGAATCCAATGCATAAGCAATTTAATTGCTTGAAATGGTGGAAGGTCCACTGGGAAAAATATCCAATTTTAGCTAAGATTGCAAGGGATGTGTTTGTAATACCAATTTCCATAGTGGCATATGAATCTACCTTTAGCACTGGAGGGCATGATTATAGGAGTTCCCTGACTCCTAAGATGGTAGAGGCGTTGATTTTCACACAAAACTAATTAAAGTCATCTCCTATCTCTTCAGAAGTTGAATCATCATCCATTGATGAGATGGAACTCCATGAGCAGATCATATCAGGTAATAAACTATTTGTACTTGTATTTGGTTTTCATTTTTCAAGTAAATACTTTCTGACCTGTTTTATTTTCATTTGTATATATTTTGTAGAGCTTTTAGTTGCTTCCACATCTAAAATGGATACCATTGATTAATACGTGGTTGAGTTAAAGTACTTTGCAATTTCTATGAACTAATCAAATCTAATCTTCTATTTAAATGCCAATGCTTTTGTGTTATCAATTTACTGATTTAATGAATGTTTTTAATCCATTGTAGGCTTGCAACTCCTCTTGAATGCTTTGGACCTTGACTTTGGGAATAAATTAGTAGATGTCATCTCATGGTGCTTAGGGTTATCAAAATTTGCTGCTCAAAGCTCATGGACACTGCCACTATCTAAAGTTTTGAATTTTATTATAATTTTGGGCTTGATAAGTTAATTCATGTTTAACTTTTGAATTTTATTAGTATGGAATTGTTAAGTTGATTTTCTTTTATGGTTGAAGTTTGGAACATGGATTTTAAGTATAATATTTAAGTATTTGAGATTTCAAGTTTCAAGTTCATTTTTTGTTAAGGAAATTCGGATTCAAGAGTTCTGATTACTCGGTTGAATCTTTTTAATGTTTGTTTAAGAAGAATAATAAAATTGTTATTAAAAAATAGCATGCAGCCTAAACCGAAAAACCTACCCAACCCAACCCACATAACAATGGGTTGGGTGGATTGGGTTACATGTATAAGCAACTGGAAATTATACATATACTAAAACCCAGTTTGCAGGCACTGTTTTGCACTGTTAATGAATAGTAAAATGTCGAAAATGCCATTATTTTCTTCTCTGTTCTCCGTTGTTTTTCCTCCTTGGCACAATAAATTTACTTATTTGTCCACGCTGCCCACACGTCGATCATCGTCGACTGCTTTGCTTCCACTACATCTCGAATTTTCCTCTTTTCCACTTCTCTCTCTCTCTCTCTTTCTCTTTCTCTCTTTCTCTCTCTCTCTCTCTCTCTCTCTCACAAAGCTAGGATTTTCATTTACTTCCAGTGGTCCTCCATTTGCTACACAAGTGTGTTCCATTTGCTTTTGGAATCTCTCTATTTCTCTCTCTCTCTTTCTCACAAACCAATAACCTAAACATCTCTTATCACAAAATGGACGAACCACAACACGATCTCACTCAAAACCTGCGAACCACAACAGGAATCCAACTACCTCTTCTTTCCCTTCCACTTCCACCCCAACATTTTTGGTAAGCTCTAAAACATTTTAATGAGTGTTAATTTCCGAATGCATGTCTAAACTTCATTTGGAATTTGGTTGTTTCCTCAATTTCATCATCAAACCCTTCTCATAAATTCATCTAAAATGTTCTACATGTATAATTTCATGTTCGTGTAGGTCATTTCAAATGGATTTCAAGTTGGCCTGCGGAGATTTAATTCAAATTTGTGGATTTGGGTAAGAAATTAAGAACCTGTGGGAGGATAAAATCTGGTTTCGACTCATGGGTCATTACCAATCATCCAAGGGGAAAGTGTTGTGCAAGGTAAAAAGCCCACAAGAAATATACGGACGCAAGGGACCGTGCTTAGATAACTACCCTACTATGGAGGAGAAGTGAGAGAGGGCGACAGGTTGTGGCACTTGTTCCTAAAGCATGCAGTCATATGACAGATGACCACTAAAGAAGTGGGAAATGAGGATTGGTTGTGGTGCTTGATCCTCAAGCATGCAATCCTATAAATAGGGAGAGCAGCCAAAGAACAAGGTACGTAATGAGAACCTGAGAAAATTCAGAGAATAGAAAATCAATCGACTGACTTGAGCGTCGAAGTATCTCTTGTGGGTACCACCCGGGCAAGTTATAGAAGAAGACTATTCAGGGGCATCTCTAGCGAAGGATTTGGCGAACGTGAGGATTGTGGTCAACGAATCTGTGGAGGCATTTCTTCTTGTGAGGGATCTCGCTCCAACAGTTGGCGCCGTCTATGGGAAAAAAAACAAAATCAAGCTACAAACATGACTGCATCCGCACAAGAGGTTCTGAATCCCTCTAGAGATGCAAAGACTCGATTGGTGCATGCGAGGTCTCATTCCTAAAATATTGAACCCAGTCTCGCCTTGGAACAATTTAGAAGGCTAACAAAGGAATTGTGAGAAACAAAAAAGACAGCCGATGAGGCATTGAAGAAGGCTGAGGCAAGAAACGCAGTGGAAAATGTAGCCGGCACCATGAGACAGCGTACAGAAGAGGAAGATAAGAAGGGGAGCTTTAGTAGTACGCCATTCAGCAACCGTGTTAAGGTGACAAAAAATCATGGCGAAGAGGATCACAAGGGAAAAGGATCGAAAAAAGTAAAAGATGTTGATTTGCGAGAACAAATTGAGAAGATTGTGAAGGGATACAAGCTACAAACCCCGGCGGAACTTACTTTAGAAGCGGCCAGAGGGATTCATAAATCACCATTCATGAAGGACATCCTGAAAGCTAAAAAACCCGCCAAGTTCACCCAAGCAAAGTTCAAGTTGTTTAAAGGCACAATTGATCTCGTTGAGCATATTTACCACTTCCAATAGCAGATCGCGCTCGAAGGAGACGACGAGGCCCTTATGTGCAAGTTGTTCCCCTCAAGTCTTTCGGGATCATCTTTAACTTGGTTCAGACAACTAAAACTGAGGTCTATCGGAAGTTTTACGGAGCTATGTGAGGCATTCATATCTCAATATGTTTGCAAACGAAGGCCAAGAAAAGATGTTATGATCTTGTTCAGCACCAAACAAAATGTTAGCAAAAGCCTTAAAAGCTATGTGACTAGGTTCAGGGAAGAGATGTCCACCCTAGAAGAATGTAATTCTCACACTGCGTCTTTGGCATTCCGAGAAAGGGTGTTGCCCGGAACAAAGATGCGTAGGTCATTAATCGAAATTTCACTATTAGACATGAGGGAGGTGATGGCTCGGGCTGATGGAATTATCAGACTAGAGGAAGAAGAACTTATCCAATCAAAGCAGGCCACAACCACTATTGCTGCATCTTCAGCGGGCACTACTGTGCCTACCTTGAAACCCACAACTTAGTCGAGGAACAAAGAGAAATTGCCGCACTATGACTTGCGAACTACCAGAACCAAGTTGCTGCTTACTTCAATAAACGGGTCAAGTTGAAAAGATTCAGGGTTGGAGAATGGTTATTGAGAAAGGTCATGGAAAACACAAAAGATTTGAATGCAGGGAAACTTGGACGCATATGGGAAGGACTATACGAGGTGACCGAAGCCTTCGGAAAATGAGCTTATAAACTCAGGCACGTTGAAACAGGTCAGTATGTGCCGCACCCATAGAACGCAATTCATTTGAGAAAGTACCACATTTAGCTTTTTGTGTTTATGTTTTCTGTATTTAAATTTCTGTTTCCAGCAATGTTGAAAGGTAAATCCCATTTTATCTTCCTTGCATGTCAAAGGTTGTATCCTTGGATGTTTGTTGACATCTCCCTATTGTTTGATAAATAAAGTTGCATTTCATTCAAATCTTAAACCAAGGGATGAGGATCGAATCAAGATCGAAAACACAAGATCGAGTGGGAAAAGAAAACCCAAGATCGGATGGGCAGAGACCCAATCAAGATTGAGAATCTAAGATCAAGTGGGAAAAGAAAACCCAAGATCAGATGGGCAGAGACCCAATCAAGATCGAGAATCTAAGATCGAGTGGGAAAAGAAAACCCAAGATCGGATGGGCAGAGACCCAACCAAGATTAGAAGTCTAAGATCAAGTGGGAAAAGAAAACCCAAGATCGAATGGGCAAAGACCCATCCAAGATCGAAAATCTGGGAAAAGAAAACCCAAGATCGGATGGGCAAAGACCCATCCAAGATCGAAAATCTGAGATCGAATAGGTAAAAAAAAAAAAAACGATGAAGACAAATATGGTCTCTCTAATGCACGGCTACTAGTGGTACCGACTAAACTCTCTTTTTATAAATATGTTTATAAAGAGAGAGAGAGAGAGAGAGAGAGAGAGAGAGAGAGAGTGAAAGAAGCAAGTGTGTCGGGGTGTGTGTGTGTGTGTGTGTGTGTGTGTGTAATATATGTATATATAGGTGTGCAGATTAGATATGCTGACTAGGTGTGCAGTCTAGCATTGTGGATTATATGTGTAAGCAGGAAATATACATGGTAAATAAGTATACGTGTGTGTGTGTGTGTGTGTACATCAGGTAAAAGTGTATGTAGGTGTGCAGACAAGATGGGACAGAGATCTATATAATAAATACGATATAGGTGTCAGTCCACTTTCGTAACGTGCCCATCCTGGTATTCAGGGAATATCGGGGTCGGGGCGTGTCAATATGATTCTCCCTGTGGCCTTATCCTGAATCCAAAAACAAAATGCATCAAATATGAACCAACAATTATTGTCCAAGAAAATTCTGTGAACTGACAGCAAGTTAAGAGTTATTCTAGGAATATAAAGAACAAAATTTAATTTGATAGACTACATAGGAATTTTGAAAGTGGAATGGCCAAAATGAGTGATTGATAAACCTTCACCATTTGCTGTTTGTAGTGTGTCATTATGAGGATATGGATAAGCCAATGAAAAATTGTGCAAATCATTAGTCAAATGATTGGTAGCACCAGAATTTGTCAACGATAGTTATGGTGATGCTGAATTTGATGAAGAAGATGGCATAGATAGCATATTATAAGAAGATGACGCATTTATATAAATTGGCAACTGAGAAGATTGCATATTCATCAAGAAGACATATTATTCATCACATGAGGCATAGTATTAAAAAAATGAGGATATTGCATTCATGGCAGTCATCTGTGATCCAGAAATCTTGGCTTTGTTTCTATAGAAACATGTCTTGGCAGCGTGATTGGTTGTATCACAAATCTAATAGGACTCAGAAGATTCAGCATCTCTATATAAGCACAATTGACAGACGAATAACCTTGTTGGGAACACAATTGACAAACAACATTAGTAGATAAGGCAACACAATTGAACTGAGAAGAATTTCCAAGAATACCAGGAGCATAATCATGAACAATAGGTTTGGAACTACAGTACCTCTAGCCTTGATTATTGTAATGTATGTTCCCCTGATTATTCGATTTCCCTTTGCTTTTGTATTTGGAACGATTGCCACGATTGAAAAAAGTTGGACTGCCCAGAATTCCCACTGTGATTTCCATTGTTAAAACCATTACTGCCATTTTGGAACCCAAAAGTACCATTAGAATTCCAATAGGAAAACCTAGAACCACCATTGTGACTTTGATTTTGAGCCAGCAAAGTAGTGGGAAAATAGACAGAAGAGTTACTCTCAATAATTGCTTCCTCAGCAAGCAACAGAGCAGGGCATGAAACTCCTCAAGTGAAATCACACTTTCATGAACACGAATAACACACTGGAACATGTTATATTTAGCTGGAATACCATTTAAAGCCAAGATAACAATGTCCTCATCAACAAAAGTAACCCCTGCTGCAGAGAGAT